CACCGGGGTGGCTGGGAGCCTCTGACGGGGGTGGCCGCGGTGGCGGTCCTTGCAGCTTGGCTTCTACCGGCAGCTTCGGTACTGTGGGCTGCCAGTACCAGCTCCAAACCAGGCCCCTTCGTGGCACCATGTGCCGCCGCCCGCACCCGACCGCCCGCTGCTTCCACTGCCACGAGGACCTCTTTCGTCGCCGCTTCGGCCCGGCCCCGGACCTCCCTGACTGGCCCAATTTGCTGCGCCACGGTGTGCCTGTTTTTGACTTAGACATGGATCAAATTAGTTCTGCCTTGCACTCCCTGTATGCTGACGGTTCTAGAAGGTCCGGGTCTTATTACCCTGTGTTCTCTAGCTTAGGCGTAGCACCTGTGTGTAGTCAAGAGACCCCTGCTGCGTCAGGCGTAGGACCGTTTGCTTTGTCTAGCCTAGGCTCTGCACTTGCTCCTCCTTCGTCTGCCGCTACTGCTTCGCTGTCCTTCTGCCTGCTTCTTCCGCGACCACACCACCCTCACGCCGCTCGCTGCGCCTGCCGCAATCGCACTTGCCGACCCCTCTTCTGGTTCTGTCATTGCTCGCGGCTACACTGTTCTTCCCTGTCCAGCGGTCCCCTCGGGTTCCCTTACAGGCCTGCACATCTCCTCGTTCTCCCGGAACTTAGTTGATGTCGGCTGTCTTCAGGACCTCGACGTCACCACTACGTTCCCGGGTAACGAGCGGTACGCCGTCTGTACCAAGGCCGCCTCAGGTTCCCCCCTTGCGACGTTTCCCCGGGACCCGGTGTCTGGCCTCATTACGCTGGATATTGCTCCCCCCCCGCGGTGGGCACGTCCTTCCTGGGCCCTGCATCTACTCAGGTCGCTGCTGCGTGCTCGTATCGGTCGCTCACTCACCCGTCTCTGCTCCCCATCGAGGCTGAGTGAGCGAGCAGAGACGGGTGTCCGAGGCTGCTCCCCATCTCTGCCCCATGCTGCTTATCCCTGAGGGTGACCCAGACGCCTTTGACATCCCGACCCCTCGCACTTACGCTGAGGCGACTTCTGGACCCTAGGCCTCTCAGTGGATAGCTGCCCTGGAGCAGGAGATGGCATCTTGGAGATCCATCAATACCTACGTCGACGTAGTTCCTCCACCTGGGGTGAACGTAGTCGATGGCCGGTGGCTCTTCAAGTAAAGCGCCCCCCTGGAGAGCCGCATGTGTTCAAGGCGCGCTACGTAGGTTTCAGTCAGCGAGAGGGTGTGGACTTCTTTTAGACCTTGTTCAGAAGCTAGAGCCTAGAGCCTCTGGCGCCCCCCCTAATCATCCCTGTTCAGCATCTTCCTCATTGCAATAACAAAGTATCCATCATACGCAACACTATTGATACACCTGCTGTGTCTCCTTCAAGCGGGTGCCCTCCTGTTCTTCCAAGCTGCTCCACATTCTGGCCAGGTATTTGTATTGTTGGGCTGAGAAATGCCCTTAGGATCTTTCCAGAGACTAAGTCCCAGTCGTAGAATGAGGCTTGAGTAGTGCAGCGGAAGTTGAGGTAGTTGAACCCTTGTACTAGTATATGAGAACAAGTGATTGATTAAAGAAAACAAGCATACAGCAATATATAGAGAATAAGAAAGCAGTTGTAGAATACAGTTGCAGGAGCGGTTATCGAGTCGCACAGCGACTCGATTGTCGCTTCGGTTACCATCCGCGATGTTGTAACGGTCAGTCGCAACCTCCAGTTGCGACCTTTCGAGTCCCTTCGCGTTCTTTGTCCGTCCCCTCGTGTAACCTCCGTTGACTCGCGTACCCGTTGCGATCTTCCTCAAGTGTAGTGTTACTCTTCAGAAACGCTTAAGTCCTTTGAGATATTTCCAACACTCCCCTTCGTTTCTGGAGTGCTGACGTGTTCAAATCCGGTGACGTTTGTCTGCCCGGTCAGCAGCGTGCAGTAATCGAATTTTGCCTTCGCCAATTTCTTCGTCAGATAGTCTGCGGCCATTTCTGTCGTCGGGCAGTAACTGAGTTGAAGTCTCCCCTTCGCGATTTCATCCTTGACGAAGAAGTACCGCAGGGCGATGTGCTTGGTTCGGTTGGCGAAGCCGTCCTTGTTCGCGATTTTGATCGCAGATTGGTTGTCGCAGAGGAGTGAGAACACGGCCAGGGTCGCAATCTTCGCTTCCTCGAGTAACTCTCGTAGGTAGAGTCCTTCCTTGGTCGCAGTGCAGAGGGCGATATACTCTGCTTCAGCCGAAGATAGTGCGATTAGTTCCTGCTTGCTCGACTGCCAGGAGATAGTCCCGATAGGTTCTAGTCGGTAGATGTAGCCCGTTCTCGATCGTCGATTTTCCTTGTCTCCCGCGTGGTCGGCGTCGACGTATCCGAGTAGTCGTACGGACGGTGTCGTTACTTTGCTGTAGGTGAGCCCGGTCGTCGGCGTGGAGACGAAGTAGAGTAGTGCCCGATTAAGTTCCTCGATATCTTCTTGTTCCGGCTGCTTCAGATGCGTCGCCAGTTGGCTCGCGCTATAAGAGAGATCGGGTCGGCAGGTTACTGCTGCGAATAGTAGGCAGCCGAGCTTCTGCTGATACTCCTGGATTTGCTTCGCGGGGAGTTTTGCGGAGGTGCTGTTGTTGTTCCCGTAGCGGTAGGGATTCGGGACCGTGATCGGCGTTAGACCGAATTTCTTCGCGACAGTGCCTGCGTACTTTCCAGCGTGTAGGTAGAGCGCCGAGTTGTCTTCGACGACATTCAGTCCCAGGTACTGGGTCACTGCGTCGGACACCGTGAGTGTCAAGTCCTCTTTCAGCTCCCCTTCGAACCAGGTGGCGATGTCGGTAGTGGAACCGATGTAGAGCAGGTCGTCGACGTAAACGATTAGTAGGATATACTCTCTTCCCTTTTGCAGTCGGTACATGCCTTGGTCATGCGGCAGCTGTAGGAATCCGATTTTTACGAGGCGACCGTGAAGATGCTGCTGCTAGAGCCGCGGGGCTTGCTTGATCCCGTATAGGGATTTTACCAGCTGGCATACTTTCGTGGGGTCATCGATGAATCTGTGGGGTTGCTCGACGAAGATCTCAGCGTCCACAGGTGCGTACAGGAAGGCATTTGCGACGTCGATTTGGCGCAGTGGTAGTTTCTTCGTGGCCGCGACAGCGAGTAGGATGCGCAATGAGGTGTGACGGGAGACTGGCGCATTCTGTGTAGTCGGTTCCGTATCGTTGATCGAACCCTCGTACGACCCATCGAGCTTTGAATCGTTCGGTGGAACCGTCCGCATTGGTCTTGATGCGGTACACCCATTTTCCCGAGAGGACGTTCTTCCCGTTGATGCTTGTTGCAGGTACCAGCTTCCATGTATTTCGGTCTTGCAGAGCCTTTAACTCTTTTTCCATCGCCTCCTTCCATTTCGCCTTATGTTCCCCCCCCAGAGCCTGCGACAGAGTCGAGGGCTCGCGCGGAGATGGCGGCAGCGGATGCTGGACGGAGACCCATAGGTCGAGTAACTGCAATCCTGTTGGTGTGTGTCGAGGGGAATTTTCATTCCCGGAATAAGCTGCTTCGTCACCGTCTTCTGGATCAGGTAAGAAGTTTGGGCCGATGCGTTCTGAAACATTCGTGTCGACTGGGTGGGGTGTAACGTAACCTTGGTCAGCGAAGTGGTAAAAGGTGTCGAGGTTGTTGCTATCGAGAGGATTGTCTTCGTTGAGTGGAACAGGTACGGAACAGAAAGGGAGTGGTCTGGCAGCTTCCGAGGCTCCAGGTACGTCTTCTTCTGCTGCGTCAGCCTCGGCAGCACGGTCGGCGAAGGAACGAAGGCCCGCAAAGCCGTCGGTGGGGTCATGTGTGTTGGCAATGTTGTCCAGGTAATGCTGCAGCGTCAGTCGCTCGTAGAAGATAACATCACGTGATGCCACTGTAGTTTTGTCTTGTATGTCGAGGATTTTCCATGCGTGAAAATGTTGTGCGATGCCGAGGTGTAGCCCCCATCGTGCTCGTTGGGTGAAACATCCTGCTCTGGCTGTGTGGGGTCTGTACTGTACCATGCAACCGAAAACTCGAAGTAATTTTGTGCTGCCCCTTTTTCGTGTCCACAGCAGGTGCGGTGATGCGTTGTTGGGAAGTGATGACGATGACAACAGGTTGTGCAGGTGGACTGCATGTGTCATCGCGTCTGGCCACAGTGTGGTGGGCAGTCTCATCCCCAGGAGCAGCTTCCGCATCGTCGTCTGCAAGGTCCGGTCGACCCCCTGCTGCTGGTGAGCGTAGGGCAGAGACACCAGGCGTCTGATTCCTCTTTCTGCCAGATAGGTCCTGAAGCGTTGTGACTGGTATTCCAGTGCACCGTCTGACTGGAAGCTCTTGAGCTTTGTTCCTGATTCTCGTTCTGCGATGGGTAGCCATGTTGTGAAGGCGTCGAAGGCTTGATCACGCGTCTTGAGGTTGTAGTGCCAGACGTATCTTGTTGCTGCGTCGATAAATGTGATGACATAGTTGAAGTCAGCTTCAGTGTCTTCTCGAGGCATGTTTAAAATGTCGCTGTAGACTTTTTCCATCGGTGCGTATGCAGGTGCGCTTGGGTTGTGATGAGATGGGAAAGACTGGTGGGGAAGATCGGCTTCGGGACACGTAAAGCACCGTGCGCGTGGTCGTCGAAGTTCTTGGCCGCTCGTTGTTAGGAGGGCGTTGCATTCTAACACTTCTGCTTGGATGGTTTGCAGTATTGTACTGTTTGCAGGGTGCCCGAGTCGTTGGTGCCAGATGTCGTCGGGAGCGCGATGGCCGGGCGAGCGGTGGTATATGTCGGTGTTGGAGAAGAACGCGACGACCATGGCGGGACTTCGACAGACTTCTCGTGTGATGGGCATAAGTTGATCTGCTTCGTTTGGCGGTCCTCGGATCGCTGGTGGTGGTACTCGGCTGGGTCCTGCTGCTGCTACTGCAGGTGATGGTTGGGAGGGGACACTTGCTGGTACTTGTCTTTCTTGTCTGATGACTGCTAATGCTCGTGTTCTTTCTGCTGCAGGTATGGTGTTGGAGTGCCAGAACCCATCAGGGTCGAAGTCGGGGTCAAGATCCGGCGGGTGTGTCCAGGCGGCGAACGACACGATTCCGTCGCTGTCGGCAGTACCGCGGTCGGGGACGAAGTCCAACACGAAGACGCCGGACTTCAGGAGAGCACGACCGATGAAGAGACCGCCCTTCCCGTGGTAAAGGCGAAACTCGTTGGAGTAGGAGTCGCACTCCAGGTGAATCCCTTTTGCCATTAGCTAGCTGACGCTTAGTAAGTTGTATCCCAAGTTGTCGACGATGAGGACCTTGTTGAGTTGAAGTATAACGTTTGTCTCCATGGATTGTAACTGAACCACTCCTTATCTGTTTGTTTTCAGGTTTTCGTTGTTGGCGACGGTGATGATGACGTCGCGGGTGAGGCGTCGCTCTCGTTGCATGAAGCGTCCGGAAGAACACATGTGTTGACCACAGTAGCTGTCCAAGAACCAGGTGTTTCGCCCGGTGGGTTCGGCGTTGGCGACCGCAACGTATGTCGGGTTGACCTCAAGTCCTTGTGAGCGCGGCGGCGGAAGTTCTTCTTCGTCTGGTGCGTAAGTGGGTGGTGATCCGGGTGCGCAGTTGTCGATGTGTACCATGCAGTTAATGATGTTCGGTGTCCCTTGTACAGATGTGGAAGAGCACCTTGGAGGGCTTTCTTGAGTGGGGGCGACGTGTGGGTCTACTGGACGATAAACACGAGGACGTGTGCAGTTGACTTTGGAATGTCCGGAAGTCTGACAGTTGTGGCAGAACGGTGGCACGAAGGTGAGTCCTCTGTTGTCGCATTGATCTTGTTTGCCGCGTCGATTGTAGTTGTTGTCGTTCCTTCGTTGAGTGTAGAAAACTAACTGCTGCTGCTTCCTTGGTTGTCTTTCTTCGAACAGGTCCATCTCCTGTTGTTCAGCGTGAAGCTCGGCGCAGAGGTGCATCTCCGATATCCTTCCGTGGGCGCGAAGAAGCGAGCGTGTGGTTCTCCATTCTGGCCCGAGCCCGGCGAGGACAAGCGTCACGAAGCTTTCTTCAGTGATTATTCCTCCGCACCGAAGCAGGCGGTCGCATAGTGTTTGGCATCGACTCATATACTGCATCGCCTTTTCCCCGGTCTTCATCTGTATTGTTGTCAGCTGTTGCATGATTCTGCTTTGTGTCACGCTGTCGTTTGCTTGATAGAGACACTTGAGATGATGCCATGCGAGTTCCGCGGAGTTTCCATAGCTCCGATACGTTCTGATCAGGCCTGTCGTTATCAGGGTATTTTACCCTGATTCCCTGATTTCACAGGGTATTTTTTTGGCCAACCCTTAATTTTCAGGGTTGGGCTTTTTTGAACCCTAACCTCTTCAGGGTTGTATGTCTGTGAACACTGAGAATTTCAGGGTTTGCGTTATCCCAACACTGAGTTTTCAGGGAGTAACGCGTACGAACCATGAGTGCGACATCCATGTGGCTCAGAATGCGGAAATTTAGGCGAAGTCCCCAATCTCCAGAGACATTCCCCCCCACACGCAACAACCTACAAAAATTGGTAAAGTCCTCAAACATTCCCTCACACACCAAGCAACCCACAAAAATCGGCTAAGTCATGTGTCGTACAGACATCCCCCCTACACACTAACAACAACCCACAAAAATTAGCTAAGTCTATGAAAATGTAACGGTCAAGATCGATTGCGATCGTTTCGACATACTTAAACCGTTAGATGGTCACGTTGATCAACGTCCAAGATCTCCCAGCCGGGGCGCTGCTAGGGCGCGAATTTTCTCCGACCGCCCTATTACCCAGCTTCCCCCCTCCAATCCACTTCGATTCCTCCCTCCCCTCCATTTTCGCTCCCCCACTCCCCCTCCGTTTCGTTTCCCCCCTCCCCTCCATTTCGATTCCCCCATCTCCCCTCCGTTTCGCCCCTCGCATCTTGGTTTTGATTCCCTCCCCCTTTCTTCCTTGGTTTCGACTCCCCCTCCCCTCCGTTTCGATCCCCCCTTCCCCTCCGTTTCGATCCCCCCTTCCCCTCCGTTTCGATCCCCCCTTCCCCTCCGTTTCGATCCCCCCTTCCCCTCCGTTTCGATCCCCCTTCCCTCCGTTTCGATCTCCCCTTCCCCTCCGTTTCGATCCCCCCTTCCCCTCCGTTTTGATCCCCCTTCCCCTCCGTTTCGATCCCCCCTTCCCCTCCGTTTCGCTTCTCCCATTCCTCGACTGTATTTCGAACTTCCCCCACCCCCAACCCCACTTTTTCCCTCCCCGTTTCGCTTCTTCTCTTCCCCTATGTTTCCATCCTCCCCCTTCCCCTCCGTTTCGCTCTCCCCCTCCCCTCGGTTTGATTCCCTCCCCTTTTTCCCCCCATTTTTAATTCCCCCCTCGTGTTGAAGGCAACCCTGAACGCGCTCGGTGAACCCTGGGATTTTCAGGGTTCCAAATTTCTGAACCCTTACAGATCAGGGTAGGCAATTTTTGAAACCTGAGCCCTCAGGGTAAACGTTTTTTTTTATTCGACAGCTCAGGGGGGGTTTTTTTGAAACGTCAGCCCTGGTTCTGATGCTCTGCTGTTCTTGTGGTGACAGGTGTCAACTTATACATATTATCTATGTAGAAGTTATAGGCTAGACTGAGGTATGCTTCTAGTGAGTACAACCAACTAGTATTTGTTCTAGGTTTCCACCTCTTGTAATCATTCGTTTCTACGTTAACATGGTATCACGCTTAGGTTAGGATCCCCCCGCCTACCGCTTCCGCCCGTCGCGCCTCCTAGGCCCCGTCGCGCCCCCTAGGCCCCGTCGCGCCCCCCCTGGGCCCCGTCGCGCTCGTTAGGCCCCGTCGCGCCCCCCCTGGGCCCCGTCGTGCCCGCTGGGCCCCGTCGCGCCTCCTAGGCCCCGTCGCGCTCCCCCTGGGCCCCGTCGCGCCCACTGGGTCCCGTCGCGACCCCTAGGCCCTAACGCGCCCCCGCTGGGCCCCGTTGCGCCTCCTAGGCCCCGTCGCGCCCCCCATGGGCCCCGTCGAGCCCGCTGAGCCCCGTCGTGCCTCCTAGGCATCGTCGCGCCTCCTAAGCCCCGTCGCGTCCCCCCCCTCTGGGCCCCGTCGCGCCCGTTCGGCCCCGTCGCGCCCCTCCTAGGCCCCGTCGTGCCCGCTGGGCCCCTTCGCGCTTCCTAGGCCCCGTCGCGCCTGCTAGGCCCCGTCGCGCCCCCCCTGGGCCCCGTCGCGCCCGTTAGGCCCCGTCGCGGCCCCCCTGGGCCCCGTCGTGCCCGCTGGTCCCCGTCGCGCCTCCTCGGCCCCGTCGCGCCCCCCCTGGGCCCCGTCGTGCCCGCTGGGCCCCGTCGCGCCCCTTAGGCCCCGTCGCGCCCGCTGGCCCCTGTCGCGCCTGCTGTTAGCGCTCGCCCGCCTGGCCTCCTCCTAGTGCCGCTCGGCCTCCTCCTAGTGCCGCCCGGCCTCCTCCTAGTGCCGCCCGGCCTCCTCCTAGTGCCGCCCGGCCCCTTCCTAGCGCCGCCCGGCCTCTCCTCAGCGCTGCCCGGCCCCTCCTCGTGCCCGACCGGCCCTAGCAGCACCAGCCTGGCCCCTCCCAGCACCAGCCCGGCCCTAGAGCACCTGCCCGCCTCCCCTGCTCGGCCTGCCGTGTCCTCTCGGGCCCTGTGTCTTCTGCTTGCCTGCGCTGGGACGCCTAGCTGCTGCCCTACTGGAGAGTGCTGCCGCCGTGTCCCCACGCCGCTGTGCTCCTGTGCCGCTGAGGAGCTGTGCTGCTGTGCCGCTGTGTCGCTGAGGAGCTGTGCCGCTGACCCTGCACGATGGCTGACTTTGTGCTCCGCCTGGACGCTGAGGGCCACGCGGTTGACTTCGCCGCCTGGCTCTCCGATCTTCGCCGCCAGCTTACAGGTCAGCGCCAGGATGGCCACTCTCTGGTTATCCATGCTGATGGCTTGCTCCCCCGTCCCCCTGCACCTACTCCCCTCCCTGCTGACCCCTCCTCTGATGACCGTGAGGCTTTCTCTACTGCTGCGCTAGCCTGTGCGGTCTGGGACTCACGCGATGCAGTAGCTCAGGTTGCTATTAGTCACGCCCTCCCTGTGTCTGAGCGCTCGCGTTTTGCTACTGTTGAAACGGCCAAAGCTTATTTAGAAGCCGTTATTGCTCGCTATTCCACCCCTGCCTCCGCTTCTGCTGGCCGCTTGCTCTTTCCGATGCTGTTCCCAGACCTGGCTGCCTTCCCTACTGTCGCAGATTTTGCCACTCATTTGCGTGCCCTAGAGACTCGCTATCGCACTGCCAGCACTGCTGCCCAGCTCACTGCGCTCCCCCCTCCTTTCTGCATGACGCTCTATTTTATCGCTATGCGCCTGCCAGACCGCCTCGCTAGTGCTCGCGACCACTTTCTTAGCCAGCACCCGGGTGACCTCACCCTAACCGCCTTTGTCGACACCCTCACTGAGATCGAGACTCGCCAGCGCACTATCGCTCAGTCGAGCGGTGCGCCGGCAGTCTCTATCTTTCACGGTTGTGCCCCATCCCGTGCACGTTCACTGACGTTTCGGCTGCGGTCGCCACGGCGACCCCTCTTACCGAGACGGCTGCTGCTGTCCACCCGCAGCAGCGCTCGCGTCGCGGTGGCCGTGGCCGCCAGGGAGGTAGGGGTGGTGACGCAGGTGGTAGTGGTCGTGGTGGTGGTGACGGTAGTCCGCCTGAGGGGACTACCACCGGTGGGCAGGAGCAGCAGTCCCAGCAGCAGCAGGACCAGCCCCAGCAGCACCCGCCGCAGCCGTGGGCTCGTCTCCCGCCTGGTTGGCCCGGCACCTCCGGAGGCGGTGGCCGTGGTGGCGGCCCGCGCAGCTTGGCGTCTACCAGCGGCTCCAGTGCTGTGACCTGCCAGTACCAGCTTCAGACCGGGCCTCTCCGCGGCACTCTGTGCCGCCGCCCGCACCCGACCGCCCACTGTTTCCGCCGCCTCGACGATCTTTTTCGTCGTCGCTTTGGCCCGGCCCCGGACCTCCCTGACTGGCACAGCCTGCTCCGCCAGGGCGTGCCGATCTTTGAGTTAGACATGGATCAGATAGGTGCTGCTTTGCATGCTTTGTATGCTGACGCTTCTAGTGTTGATGGATCTTACTACCATGTGTACTCTAGTTTAGGTGTTTCACCCTTGTGTAGCTTAGCTTCCCCTGCTGCGACAGGCGTAGGACTGCCTAGGTTGCC